CACAGGTGGCAGAAGGGAAGAAGTTACAGCTTGAAGGAGATACAAGAAAGCAAGTCTGTGTGCATTGGCTGGAACCTAAACTGCAGTCATTCACTACAGTTAAACTGACAAACAGCCACCTACTGATTTGATTCTGTGAAAAATAAAGGATGAAGTAATTAGATGAGTTTTCTACAGAAACATGTTACTAGATGCCCTGCACAGCCTCTGGAAATTTCATCCAGAGATTGAAATTTAATTTTAAGAGTTTCTAAGTATTGAAAGAACTTTCAAATATATTTTACAATCATGTAAATATGTCAGTCTCAAAATTTCCAGAGCATGCATCAGAAACCCATGAATTAGTGTCCAACTCTATGGAAAATAATTCTGAATTTTGCACAACCCTGAAACTCTATTTTGTGATCTTTGCAGTATTTTTTGTATTGCAACGCTCCTCCAAAGGAATGTAGGAAGTATATCTGAGCTAGGGGCAACTATTGTAAGTGACCCCTGAGTTGCATGTTTAGGTTTCACAAGTCACTGAAGCAGGGAGTTGAGACTAAAGAATAATTACATGTGGATGATATATAACCAGATTTTGTAATTAGCCAAATCTAAGTAAAATATTCCTCTTTTCCTGTAGCTGATTAAGACATTTATGTCTCTCCCTAGGCGAAGTCCAAAGTGTTGCCAATCCTAGATGATGTTGAACTTTGAGGGATGGAACTTTCTGGGAGCAGTAAGGAAATTAGATATTTAGGGCCAAACTACCAGCAGTGGGCTCATGGATGAAGTTAAATTAGACTTACATCTGCCAGCTAATAAAATATGTATTGGAGAGATGAGAACAATTACGACTGGGTCTCTGAGGTAAGCTAAAAATAATTAAAAAGAACTCTGTACTATGCAAAAGCTCCTGCATTCCCAGGACAATACTACTGAACTGCCCAATAACCACACTTCTCATATTTTAATAAGATTTTTGAGAGCTTCATCAAGGGAACTGGAAAGAACTGAAAAAATGTCAATATTGTAATAATACCCAGTGCTTACATTAGCTAGTTACTAGGGCCCAGTCGTGCTCTTAATAAGGACTTCAGTGGAAGTTTAAGATTTAATCGTGACACTTCAGTCATGTAGATATGTAAGTATTTTCATCTGTCTTCTACAGGCTGGGAAATGGGGCTAATGGAGGAAAATTATCTGTCAAACCCTCCATCTTGCACATAAAAGGGAAGATTTTGCTTCACACAGCTGAAAATAGATTGGATAAATTCTGAGCATCATTGAAGAAGTCAATGAGAGCTCTGCTGTTGCTTCTAGCAGAGCCAGGATTTCTCCAAGTAGATTAATTTTATCTTGAATTATTGTGCTTATATCAAAGGCAAAACTAGAGATTGCAAAGGTAAGTTTCCATGGAAGAAGGATAGCTAAACCAAGTTTCCCTGAAATGGGCAACTATTTTGAGTGCTTTTCTTTTATAATTGAAGTTCAATTGAGATCTTGATCCAACTCCTATTGATAGTAACAAGAAATGGGTTTCGTTCTGGGACAAGGTTGTGTGTGGATCTTGGTCTCAAAAACAAGCTAGTAAATTGGTGGTTTTTTACCAAGTGAAGTAATGTCATTGCTGCATTTGTATTTTAAAAATTAGAGTACTGGTAACATTTCTAAGAGTGGGTGGGTGTTTAATGTCCATGTGCCCCGTTTTCAAGTTTTTACAAATTCTTGTCCTGACAAAACTGAGCATATAAGTGCCTAACTCATGCTTAAGCTCCACTGGAATTTGCAAAAGATGCACTGCCTATCTCAATTGTGAGGCCTGATCTGGCAGATCTGCTCATAGCATGTCTATAACTCTCCTACAAAAGACAGCAGGAGTTGAAGATAATTGTGCCACCCAAGTATGTTCAATTATCTCCTCTGTCCAAAGGCATTTTAATTGACATCTCTCATCTCCCATGTAAATACGCCAATAACCAAACTGTAGGGTATTCCGGTGGGGGGAGGAGGGGACGACTTTTAATCATTTTTATTAAAATTATTTTAGTTTATTTTAAATGCTTAAATAATCTTTGGAACAGGAACTGGAACACAGGTCTCCCTTCTCCAAGATAAGTGCCTGGGACTTTTGGGCAAGAGCGGGGGCACCATTGCCTGCTGCTTCTTTCTATTTCCTAAAAAGAAGGATAAACCCTTCTTCAGGTTTTGATAGAAAGTGATTAGGTGACTGAATCCAGGAGAGTCCATAGCTGTCAAGCCTGAGAAGAGATAGGTGCCTCTCCGTATCCCCAGTCAGGTGCCATCTCCCTGAAAGAACAGAACATAGGCTACACCTCTCTCCTTTGCATTCTAAATGGTGCTCTGAAATTTGGGCTGGTTTCTTTGAATCCTATTCTAAGGCTCCTGAATTTCCCTGTACTTTGTATTTCCATGTTTTGTGCTAACAAACTGATACATCTGTATGAAACATATGGTCTTGTATTCAGTATAAAGCAGATTTACCAAGGCCAGCTGTAAAACAACTCACACAGATCTGTTTATGTGAATTTAGCTTTTGCAGTTTAAAAATTCCAAATTCTGAGGTTACAGTGATATAGTACAAATACTAAGCTACACTGCCTACACTGAGTTTACAGTAGTAGTTCCAAGTACAGGAGACTGATATTTACTGGGTGAATCTACACGAGACGCTTAATGCCCACTGGACTAATTCTACTGTGCATTAGCGCAGCTGGCAAAAAAACGTGCTAATGCCCTAATGCACAGTAGATTAGTCCATTGCACTTTAAGCATCACCTAAAAAGCGCTAATGCACAGTAGCACTGTGCTAATTCATAGTAGCACTGATTACTGCGCATTTAGTACCTGTTATTAGAGGTACTAAACTTAATGCACCGTAATTCCAGTGCATTAATAAATGTGCAGATGCCTATGGGACCATTGAGAAGTGAGCACAATATGCTTCTAAAAGGATGTACTCCTCTCTCCTCCCCTTCCCCAACCTGCAAAGTGTTGGGCACAGTTTGTTTGGATCCTTGGAAGCCTGTGAACCTAATTTACTTCTGAAGACATACCAGTCAATATAACTCTTGGTTGACATTTATTCAGCTTACATACGGAATCACTGAAGGGCAGAACTTTGGAAGGTGGCAGCTGACAGCACAAATGGCTTAGAAACAGAACACTGTGGGAATCTTTAGGTGAAGATATCTGTGCAAATCCTTACTTTATAAAATGGCATGCTGGCATTCTAGGGTGCCTATACATGTGCTCTGGGGTGAGGGGGGCATTTTTAATTAGAACAGTTCTAGGGAGCTGCTGCAATTAAAACACTGCAGTGTCTCATGTATTCAGCATCCCACGTTTCAAAATGGTGGCGGAAGCACTTTAATAACAGCTCACTGAATGCTCCGATTTTGAAACACAGGAAGCAGTATACACAAAACGGTGCGGCACTTTAGAGCATTCTAATTAGAACGCTCCAGCAGACTCAAATGAGACTGCTCTGACATATTCTAATCCAAACGCTTTGGAGCATGTGTATAGGCACCCCTAGTGTCTACATGGAGCAGAGTCAAAGTATGTTTGAAAAGCAGTATTGGTTTATTTTCTCTTGACAATTTTTCCTTGGTCTCCTGTCACTTAAATTAAATATAATGAGGAATACAGCTCATGTTTCCTTCCTTCTCCAGCATCTGCTCTATAAAAAATACCACCATCCTTCCCATCACTTAAAATTCTGGGTCATTGTTACTCCTCTGCCTCCATGCCATGCTGCATTCTAGGTACTGGCAAATTTTCATCTCTTCTTTCAGACCCTCAATTAAAATCCATTTCTCTGTCTGCAGCTTCCTTCTCCCTGCTCTCTCTCTCTCTCTCTCTCTTTTTCTTTTCTGTGACTTAGTGTATCAGTGCAGTAGGGAACCCAGGCAGCTGTCACACACAGAGGCAGTGGTGATTTCTGGTTGCCACTGAGATCACAGACCTACAGCAAAAGCCATTTTCTTTGCTCCTCACCCCCTTTTTCCATCAGTGCTCAGTGCAGTTGCCTTCGTTGCCCTGCTCTAATTATGTTATTACCTCCACATCTCAGATCTTCTCACCTGGCTTCCTCTTATCTCTGTGCCATAATCAGTAGCTCCAAGACATAGCCAGTTTCACCCAGACCTCCATTGCTGTCTTGCTGTAAAGAGATACCTAGCCATTTGGGATGGGGAGGTGACTGGATTCCTCTTGTGCATTGTTTATTATAGATACTGATGTGCCTTACCTACAATAGCCCTACAAATTGGTGGCCTTGGGAAGACCTTTGACCTCAACTGCTATACTTACCATCTGCTTATTCCACCTTTTAGGGTTTGATCCTGTTTGACTGCATTGGCTGTGATTTCCCAACTCCAGGGGCACACTGTGCTCCCCAGTGGCTGGGAGATCCCAGCAGTTGTGGTCTCCCAGCTGCAGACTGCCTACATGTGCACATTAAAGCTGAACAGAAACTAGCTATAAAGTTATTACACATTTTCAAGCAATAACTATATAGCAGGTTGGATCTTTTGAAGGCATCATAGTTAATTTGCATGTGTAGCCAGTCTGAATGTACTGCACAATTAACAAGGTAATTGTGCAACAACAATAACGTATAGAGGGGGCCTCAGGTTAGTAAACTCTATGACCAGTAACAAGTACTTGCAGCTGTGTGCCCATAATTTTAAAAACTCTTATTCCCTCACTGTGTATATGGAGAGAAATGACATTTCAAATGATCATGGGAAGCTTTTCTCTTATGGTTTCTAGAAGAACTATCTTTCTCATTATAGCTCAACTTCCAGGTGAGTATATTAACCCTTCCAATTCCATTTACATTCTATATAGAAATATTTTACTGGAATAGAAATTGTATAGAGTGTGATAGAAGAGTTTAATAAAATTTTCCTTCCATTTATTTTCATTAAAAAAGAAAGAAAAGCCAAATTGCACTTGAAGGCATATATGAAATGGCAAATTTTCATTCCTACCTGTAATCATGCTTGATATAATTAAGGGTAGAATAATGAGTTTGAGCATCCGCATCAGCACCTCTCCGGGAAATGAGAAGTAGAACTTGTCCAGGCTGGAAAGTTTGCCATATTCTCGTACAAGAAGTCCTACTCCAATACCTAAAGGACACAATAAAAATTGAACATGTGTTCAAGGTTAAGCAGTAACTTGTAATAAATGCATTAGAAGTGGGGAAGAAAACACTAGTATGAAAATGAAAGAAATGGATAAAACAAAAACAGCCATGTTTAATTTTTTCTAAATAATGTGATATTTAGCAGACACACATATCTAATCTTTTATTTTGGTCTATTCATGTTAGGAAACAAAACTTTAAAATGCTGTACAAAAAATAAATACAGTACTTGAGTCAAGAGAACAACTTATTTAATATAGACATGGCCTAAGGGTGCATCCAGATGAGTGCACACCTGTGTTTCCCTGGGGACAAATAGCAGCAGCACAACTGCAGCTGCACATAGTTGTGCCACTGCCACTTGTCCCCAGGGAATGTCTCTGCACATGTGCTCTGGCATGCAGCAAGTTGCTGCTGGTGGGGTAGTGGAAGCTGGGGCCAGCACCTGGGCTGAGCCCATCAGCCTTACTTGGAGTCTTGGGGGCCTCCTAGGGCTGCAGTGGTGGTGATCCGGGCCTGCGGAGCCTGGCCAGCAGCCTGTGTGGCTCTGGCTGGCCAGGCTTTGGTTTCAGGTAATGCATGCTACAGCCACATGCACAATCCCACTTTTTTTTGCCGTTATTTTTTGATACTGGGAATTCCTGGTATCTAATTTTGCCTCCACACTACAAATATGCAGCGCAGAGAACCTATTCATGTGCGCCACGTTCATTTTGCAGTGCCTCAAAAGCCTTTGAGGTGCCATAGAGCACACGTGAGCCCTCACTTGAACGTGCCCTTAGGTTCTAATCTAAAACCAAGAGAAATATATTTGATGCTTTCAACATAGGAGCCTTATTTTAGTTTGGACTTAACCAAACTAAAATACCATAATATCAGTCTACCATAATATCAGTAAGCATGTCAAGATTAAATCATTCACAACAATCTTCTGTGAGTTCTTGCACAATTTTTCTGAAGGTTTGTTTGGAAAGTTATCAAGTGTCCTTGGAAGCAAAATGGCAGATATGAGGAAGAGCAGATATCAGTGATTGATAAGGAAAAAGAAATAAGGGAGAAAAAAAATCCAGCAATCTAGATTAAGATACAAAGGGTTTAGTACAAAAAATGTTGTTGCTTATGGGTTGCCTTTGTTTACATTGTTTTGTACTTCGCACTGTGCCACTCTCAAGTTATATATAACCAATGTGTTTGAAAAAAATAGGAATGCTTATCAACCTAAGTGCCAGATTTGAAACACACTGGCTGAGGTTCTGGGCTCTATTTCCAGAAGATATTGCACACAAAGGTGCAGCTACAAGGAAGAGGACAAAAGGTACCTTTAAGCCACATTTGTGTCCTCCCTGTTCTGGGCTGCTCCAGAAGCCAGCGTAGCCCAAAGAGTCATTCTGCTTCATGTCAGCATACCCCCAATTAGACCTACGGGCTATTTTGGAACAGCAAAGAATGCCCAAAGAAATGTGCACTGCGAGGCCTCATGGTCCTTTATTGCCCAAAGACCATTTCCCAGCATATCCTCTGTCCTTATCTACCTGGTTCCTGTACCAGAAGACTGTTTCCCTGGCTTACCTAGCATCCTTTATGGCACTACAAACCACAGGCCCATATTCATAAAATCTTTACTCAGCCCTTCATCCTTCTGAAGTAAACTACTTGTGTACCAGAGACTTTGCTGCCTGAGTCTTTTACATGAGACCTTAAAACCCTGAGTCTTGGGTGCTCCATGTAGACACTAGGGATACCCATACACGTGTTCTGAAGCATTTGGATTAGAACATGTCAGAGCAGTCTCGTTTGAGTCTGCTGGAGCGTTCTAATGAGAACGCTGTAGTGTGCTGCAGCATCTTATGTATTCAGCATTCCACGTTTCAAAATGGGAGCAAGAGCACTTTAAGTAAAGCTCATTGAATGAATGTCACCATTAAGGCCAATTCCTTATCTTTTAAAAACAATTAAAATCTTTAGGAAAAATTGTTCCTGTTTAATAGTTCTGCTTCTGACTTACTTTTCTCTAGGCAGGCATTTTGCAAGGGGATAAATGCAGCTCAACTTTCCAAAATGCCTTGCAGAAAGCAGGTGGGGAAAAGAACCACTGACTACTGTTCCCCTAATATGAGAATAAAGTGTCTGTTTGTGAGTGGGGAAAACTATCAAAATAAGCCATAAAAGGAAGAAGTGCCCTGGCTCCACCCACCTCCCTGAAATGGAAATATTCAATTTTGCTATTACTTTATATTGCTATTAGGTAAGAGGGCAAATGAAACACTTAGAATGGGAAATGGCTGTACTGGATTGAAGGCAAGGGGTGTTTTAGAGCCACAATCACTTTGAAATCTATCTAGTTTCAAAGTAAGAGTGGGTCTTAAGGATGGGTCAGGGTGTTAGACTGTCCCTAAATATCTCGGAAACATGTGATTCCAGAACTACAGCACCCTATTATCTGAATGGTTTCCCTCCTATGGAGCTCCATGAAAGGTTCATGCAAATAGGGAAACAGATATGTGCCTTGGTCCCTGCAAACAGAATGGTGGATCACTGCATCACCCAGAGCCCCACTGATTTCATTTGAGTTCTGCAAAGGGGAATTGGGCAGGATTGGGTCTACTTGGCTGGATAGAGGAAACAGGAAAATGAACTATTCATAAATCTTGTCAGCTGAAATGCTGTCCCTGCAAACAGACTGAAAGACCCAGGAAATATTTTGTTTCTCCCGATGTCTTTCAGTTATCGTCAGCTTGGGTGTTATTTCTAACAATAGCAACTAGAAGATTTTCAAATAATGTCCCTTTAAATTCCACATGGTGACTCACTCATGAACTGTTTATACAGCTGAGTAGTATTCTTATCATGATTGCCAGGTATTTAATAGGATTACTAGAAGGTAGAATGATTCGTTCTTCTAAGATGTTTTCATCCTTTTAATATTATCCTCTGCATACCTTTAGATTTCTAAATGTGTTGGTTACAAAGTCTTAGGAAGGCACTGTCTGAGACCCTGTTCCCCATGTCGTTTGTTTGTTTATGGAAGGGATGTTCTCTTTCTCTCTTCCCTCTCTCCCTTTTTCTTTTGTTATCTCAGATAAGACTACAGAGGAGATTTAACCATCTCAACCTTATTTTGAATGGAGACCCATTCACCTACACCCTTATCAGCAAGCAGCTATTAATTGCTTATTAACTTGCGTCTCAAACCACTTTGAGTTAAATCTGACTGTCTTTAAGATGGAGCTGGCAATGCTATATTGGAATTTAGAACTGGGATATGAGAAGAATACTTTATCTAATTAAAATATTAGGGAAGTAGTAGCAGACTGCATGTATTTGCCTATATATTACAATTTGCTAAGTACATGAGTTATTTCTTTTTTAAATTTAGTTTAATTAGTCATCATGATGACACTACCTCTTTTCTCACTATGAAATTTTATTTCTTGGAAACAGTGCAGTGTTATATAGGCTCTCGGGGCCACTAGCGTTTTCAAAACTACATCAGTTAGACTGGTCCCAACCAACCTTAGAGAACAGTGTTAAAAAGTTAAGGGTCTGATCTGTACAAAAGTTGCTCCTATGGTGGAATTGACCCAGTTTTAACAGTAGCAGGAACTTCCTAGAGTAGACAGGACTTTTACTACTACTTTTTTACCTCCTTTTTTCTTGTTACTCTTTTCTCTAATCTCTCCTTTTCTTTTATTAGATTATTAGATTTTTAAAAAGGCAAAAGAACATTCCCTTTTCTGTTTGTCCTCTTCTACCTTTCACCTTGTTTCCTGCTATTTATCCACATCTCCCCTTATCGTTTTCTTTTTTCGCTTTTCCCTCTTCCTTTACTCTTCCTCTTGCTTTTCCTTTCTGCCTAAATGACTAAGTTTGGCTTCCCATGAGGTGTAGATGCTTTTAATAATTAGGCAAATTGCTCTCGTTATGTCCTACAATGATTACTTGGTAGTATTTCCCAACAGACGATTTCAAAGACATTGGGCAAAGGAAAACAGTGGGGGTGCAGAAAGTATTGTGAACCTTAGTCCTTAATTTTCTAAGGCACATGTAATCTTACAATTGTGTATAATTCAGCAAGTGGCTCATTAGAAGGAGCCCCCTTCCAGTTTCTCTCACAGCAGTTCTTAATCCAGAGAGCCAAAGGTGCAGTTCACTTGAACAGGGCTCTCAACTCAAGAAAGCAGTCCAGAAACTACATCTCTCTCCACTGATCTTAGAAACTCGGCTGAGGTGCTAGAACATACATACTCCTAATTTCATGGAGTTACCAATAGATGCTCTAACCCAAGTAGATTCGTAGCTTTTTTTGAGTTGGTAATGGGGAGCAGGAACTGGGGAAGAAGGGGGAGAGAGAAAGAGGATGAAGAGACCCTACACATGCAGTGAAAGAAGATGAAGCCAAAAAGAATGAGCGGGGAGAAAAAGAGTGGTAACAGGGCCTGAGACTATTGAGAGACCTCTAGGAGTGGGAGATCCATCCACCAAGTCAATGCAAAAGGTACTCTACTACAGAAAGGTGTAAGGACGGTAGTATACTGCTCCTTTAAGAGGGAACACACTGATTTTTTTCCTGTAGCTCTGCCCAAGGGAGAAGGAGCAGGAAATGCTGTGAAATGTTGGTATCTAGAGTTGGCTGCCTTGCAGAAGAGAATGGTCTTCTGAAGTTTGATGCTTCCCAGAATTCATAAGTAAGAGTTCATTGAGAAGGAGACAAGAGCTGCTTGCCTTGTGTAAGTGTTGTGCCTGTAGCCTCAGAGACCAGGTAAGCTAAGTCCTAGGAACCTGCAAACCAATACCCTGGGTTGTCTTGTTTGTGCTGAGACCAGGAACACTCACTTCTTGTTCCCAATCTGACACCCTTTCGAAGTATGTCTCTTTTTTTTATTTTCCTATATACGGCTATTGTTTCTGAAATGTTCTCTAGGAAAGACTCAGACCACCCACAAGGAGATAAGCACAGTACCAATGCCTCTTTCCTTCAGCTAAGTATGATCTGACAGTACATAGTTTTCCTAGCACAGCCAGTCCTGCTGGGTTATGGAAGGAGATTCATCCATGACTCTGGGGTTTTATGGACACTACTGTACAAGACGAGTGAATGAAGAAGGCTCCTTGAAGTCTCTCCTGTACATCCATGAATATCTCAGCCCTAATTTGACCTAGATTTAGGAAGACTGAATCCCCTAGAATGCTTACAATGTACGGGTGATATGGCAGAAAAGATTGAAGTAATTTTCTGTGTTGTTACCTTGTGGTAAATGCTAGTTTAGCAATACCCTCATTGCTTTCTGTCAAAAGTAAAATGGATTGACACTTAAACAATTGAAAGGTTGACTTTCATTATTTCTTACTAATGGAAACATGACACAGGAGAAAAAAGAACCAGTTACTTGAAGGAAAAATGATATACGGAAGGTAGGACTTTTCATTATGTATACTCATTCACAGTAGAAGATATGGAAATTAGGTTTTACTTTGCACACTGCAGAGGAGGGCTCACTCCATGAGAGCATAATACCAGCAAAACTGCAAAGACTCCTATTACTGAACACTGGTACATCCTCCTGACATATCTTTAACAGTGCACCATGGGGAATGTGGCATGAGAGACTGTTTGGACATTCCTAGAGGACAAATAGTTAGTTCTGAGAAGGAAAATACATTCCTGTTTGGTTCATGCCTCTTTCTGGATACCCCATGATATTTTTTGCTTGGCTTCACAGAATACCAAAGTTGTAAGAGGCTGATGTCTATCAGCATAGGGTTGGTACTACTGGCTGATATCATTATAAACTGGGAAAAGCCTGAGAATTCTGCTTTGAAATGAAACTGTAAAAGTGGAAGTGAGAGTGTATCTGATGGTTTCCAGGCCTTATTTATTATTTCATAATACAGAAGGATGACTATAGTAACAAATAGCTTTGACACCTTTGTGTATATTCATCCTACATAAAAATCATGTAACTGCAGAAGTTTAATTTTGTTCAGTTTATCATGTCAGTGGATCATGAAATCTTTATGATGGGTCATCCATGGGACTACAGTGATTGAGAAATGCTGTGAACTGATTTCTTTTGAAATACAGTTCAAAACCAATTGATCTTCAACATATTTAGACTGCTACATGGACAGGCAATTTTCCCAGGTTCTCCCTTTACTAATATTTCCTAGAATTTGTTTTGTTTCTGGCCTTTCTAGTGGGTTTATAATATTTGACTCTCTCTTAATGTACAATAATTATTGCAATGCAACAGGGGTATGCTAAAAGGCATAAGGTATGTAACAAGGTATTAGAGTAAACTTCTTAATTCAGGTCTGTTTGGATTTTTCTCCCTCTTAATACTATTATGCATGTTACTTTTACACATGTTACTTGACAACCAATACTTTCTATGATAACCACATATTTTATATGATAACTGCTCTGAGGGACAGTGGGAATATCCTCTTAGCCAAATAAAAACTCCAGCCAAACCACACTAGTCCTCCACAAATTCCCTACATAGAGGCTAGAGGCCACCGCCCCACTACCAGCTGGATTTTGATCATTGAGATGCTGGTAGAGGAAGAGAGAGAATG